GACTGGAATGAGAGGACTGGATGGAACTAAGTGCTTGGAACAAAAAGCCGCTCACCCCAGTACTACCTTTACTATTGTATATGACCTCACTACTTAGGAAAAGGACGAACTTATGTAGGCAGAACTGTCGCGGAAGATACCAATAAAATAAGGGCAGATGTTATGCTTTGATTATACCCATTTTCTATTGTACAGTAAGGGAGTCGGGCCAGCTTAAGAACACATCGGATATGAAATACCACTGGAGGCAGCCGCTTTAATGACTGAGGATGGCTTGTACAGAAACGATACAAAATGGCAAAGCATATCGAAGTGGAGTATAATTGCGGTCAGAGGTGTTAACCAAGATGGATTTTCGCCCATTACTTCTCTCTTTTGACCAATTCGCTTCTTTTCTTTCGTTATTTTCTGCTTTTTTTCGTAACTCAGTGGTAGGGTTAAAAAATAGGAAGCACGCTTCACAGGTATATTTTAGCCGTGTTTAGAGAGTCAAGTGATGCACGAAAAACCGTATTTCACCAATATCTCTGAACCATGCCAGCTATCTGATCACCGCCAGAATTTGAAGTCAAACTGCTTGGTGAAATTACGAACAATTCCCAAATAATACCTACCCAGAAATATTCGAGAAAGAGAAAGGATGAGGATCTTAACTTTTTCCGTCTTTGTATCCAACCAATCACCAATGTCGTTATTGCGCCTTATAAACACTGAACATCTTAGAGATGCGAAACACTTACAGCTGTATCCTGTTGCTCCTCGTACTGCCATCTCTTCGTTTATTGGGAGGGCTGAGCCAATCATATAATTGATGATCGAGGCCACAAGTATTACAAGCAAGCCCATCTGCATTTTCGATTCGAATTCCGTTCCGATAAAAACGATGCCCATTAAAGCTATGCACGTCACTAAACATCAATGCTTAGAGAATAAGCCGAGGGCTCACAAAAAAAGTTCTTGTTGTAACTGACACCAAGCGAACACAAAGGAACAAGACGTACCAAATCCAACTATCCGCACGTCCCACATATCAGCATCGATGACTTTCAGACCTCCTTCTTTTAGAAGATCTCGTACTGTTTCAGCGAACCCAACAACATACATGGCTGCACCAACTGCATTCGCCACAGAAAAGATCAAACCAATAGATCCACCAAATTCTGGTCCTAGTGAGCGAGATATCTAAAGTCTCTGTAACGCTCACCGAAAACCGTGACAATGATTGCAAGCAGAATGATGAGGTTTTCAACTATCAATCATAGCAAAACCTACCAAAAAATAGGCTCCACCGCCTTTAACGTCACCGTTAGTGCAAATAGCGCATGTAGAGATGGCGGTGATAGAAGTGACAACTGATGCCAAAAGCACAATCATTGAACCAAGACCTGAAAAATATCAATTCTATGTAGGAAAACATCACTGCGATTGTGAGTAAATGCAATTCCAAAGAATGATTAGGTTTTCATTCATTTAAATAATGACTGAGAGCTGTACGTGGGTAGTGGCTGCAAGCATGTACGCAGGTACGGTTGTCGAACCGTATACAGGCAAGCCATTTCATTTCTGCTGTCAGTCGATAAAGATTCGAACACCTTTCTCACAAGATTTCCTTTCAAGCTCGTCTTTTCTTGAATTTACTCCTGCCTGCATACTCCAGAACCCCTGATAACTCTTGCCTTGCAAACATACTGACTGGGAGTACATCAGTGGGCGGTAACTGGGTATGCACAAAAAACTGCGTGAATATGCAGGAGTTTCATCCGGGTTCTATCCTATCCTTCCTTAGGCTAGGAGAAAAGATCATTTCAACTTTTTTGGTCTTCAATGGCAGTTTTCTTAGCTCCAGTGCATGTTTGCTTTTACACACATACAAGCAAGAACAGAAGGCCATTTCTTTGGCATTTTGCTGGGAAAACAGAACATTTAAAGGAATTTGTTTTTGCCTGGGGAGGATAGGAAACGACCCCAGTGCTCGACACATTGTGGCGAAACATTATCTATTTTAGAAAACTTCGAAGGCGGATTCTGCAGTGAAAAGGCAATCCATTGAATCAAATTAGAGATGAGCAGTGATGCATGAAAGAAGAAAACCGAGAAAATGGTTTAGAACCTAAGATATGGAGACCCCTTCTTTGCCCGTTATTTGCGCGTTGATACGACTCTCATAGAAGCTGCTCTCTTCAAGGCTAACGTTTTCTCCGCAAAACGGCTAGAGTCTCAGACACGAGACGAGCGCACCGTGCCGATAGCGCGCCAATAGTGCGCCACGGTAACCACTCTAAAAAGGAGGCATAACCTTCGATGGGCATTGCGTTTTAGCCGATAGCCTGAGCCCCACCATGTCGTCCCATTAGCAAGCTTACCCTTCTTCGACTACGTCCTTATCGTGCAATCCTCCTTTAACGGAAGAAAATTTAGCAATTCAATCTCTGACCGTACAACCCCAACTGTGGAACAGAGAAAGTATTGATTCGCTCATTTTATTGATTTTTATTGGTAGCTGATGTATTTGGTCCTCTTTCGCCCTTGTCTTGTCAGAGTGCTGAGGTGGGAAACTTTTTCAAGATGAACACGAAGGCTACATTAGTGGGTGCTGGAGTTCTTTTCAAGTAGACCACCAATATTACACCAATCAGAAAAAAGTGAAAGCAGCTGGACGTGTATTTGGCCTATGGCATGACTTGTGTAGAAAAGACGATGCTAGCTGCGTTTTTATCTTTCAACAAGCATAGCCTACACAGGTGGCGGAGTGCGACCGCTCCATCCTTGGTGTATTGCTGGGATGGGCATCATTACTATCCCTCTCCAGCGGTTGGTAGCAAAGTTTGACAGGTAGCTAACGAATAAGCGTTGCCGAAGGGATAGGGGCCGTAGCTAGCGAGCGCAGTTCGATCTATAATTGTAGTCATAACTTTGACATGAGAATACAAACTGCTCACCGATACCAGCTTGACCAGCAACCCAACTGATGCGAAGATATAACATTACGCCGAAAATATTCAAAAGACATCGCACAAATACACCTTGAATCCATCCAAATTTCACGCGAGCCTTCAAAGATAGTAAATCTAAATCCAATCGAAACTTTTACTAAATCCTCATTTAAGATACCTGTGTTGGAGGAGGATTAAATTTCTCCATACGTGCTTTCTTCTCCGGTTTTTCAATCTGTCCTTCGACTAATTCATCATTTTGCAACTGCAACGTTTATCATCACAGTACTTATATGAGGAGATTCAAAAAGTGTACAAGTGAAGAGGTAGAATCTGATACCTTGAATCCTTCGATATCCATCTCTTCAGGAACTGACTTGTCTCCATGAATCAACTGAAGCATAGAAGGACGAGCATGTCCACCTCCTTCGATAATATCCACGGAATTGCGATAGAAGTCCATTATAGGGGGATGTTCGAGAGTTTTCATGTAGCTGTAAATACAACTACTTGCACTAAAAATACCGTAGCACATTCAATAAAAGCTCCTAACTTATAGGTTCACAGGTATGCTCATAAAAAGGGAAGTGGTCACAACAATCTAAGAAAAGTGCACAAAATATTTCTATAGCACGCGCAAATGAAGAAAAAATCGCAAGCAAAAAAGAGAACGAGAATTTATAAGCACAAAAAACTGTACAGAAAACTTGGACTACTGCTTTCAGGGCTGAAGAATATTAAAAAGAGGAATAAATCCCTACCGTGACAAGCTTGTGATTAAAATGACACGTCCACTCACCGCCAGCTCTTCAAGTTAATGGTTGTATTTGTTTCCGGTTGTTCCCGCTTATGTTCTTCATCGTCTCGTTCTTTATCGCCTACGGAAAAGTGGACCTGAATAGAATTCTTATTATTGTGGTAATGGTAATGACATTTGTATCATAGCTCCCCCACTTTTTCTTCACGATTTGGGGCGCGGCCGCGGCAAACCACGCGGCGTTCGCGGCCGAGTAGTGCGGCATCAGCTTGCCTGAGTATTTCGTTACGTTACATTGTGTTAGTTCATCCGATCGTAACGACACGTAATGTAACGTCGAATACTCAGGCAAGCTGATGCCGCACTACTCGGCCGCGAACGCCGCGGGTTTGCCGCGGCCGCGCCCCAAATCGTGAAGAAAGTGGGGGAGCCTTGTATCATTAGTGTCCTCCAAGTAAAGTAACAGTATGTGTTATCGGGCGGCAAAAATTCTCCTGATTTATACATGGTTGATGGTGGAGTTTTGTACTGCAGTTAATTTCCAAATTAATTAATGCCACATTGTGGACTCCTCACTGCTCCTAATAATTCATGAAAAAGATCTAATGATTTAATGTATGGGAACTTTGGTTCTGCTCGAATGGCAATAAATCAAACAAAAAATGTTTAGTATTCACCTATTTGAGGTCAGATAGGATTAGTTAAACACAAAAAATATTATACAGTAACTTTCGGTTATAATGTATTTCTCAACACACCCCTTTAGAACGTGGAGCGGGCTGCTCTTGTGACTGGATACCATTCTCCTTCGCACCGTCATCATGTGAACCTCGACGATCAAAAACAGCAGAAAGATCCGCCACTCCATTCGGGTTATCGGACATGACCTGACCAGTGCGATATCATCGACAAAAAAAAGAAACAGGAAATGCGAATTGAAGAGAATTTTGGCGATAAACATGAAGAAAACAAAGACTGGGCTATAACGACAAAAAGGAAGAGAATAAACAGAATTCGAGAAACCTGTGACTGCCCCTTCACTTGTAAGAACTATAGCAAAAAAAGCGTTAAAGTGTGCTAATTATAATAAAATAAAACAAGTGAAAGTTAAGAACTAGGGTAATAAACATAAAGTTGTGTAGAAAACGTGCATGGGTAACAGTGACAGCTTATTTGCTATTAGAGACAGATGGGTTGGACAGACACAAGGGACCACCCACCAAGTAACAATATTCAGTTGCACAACAATTTTAATATCATTATCGCTCTGGAAATGCCATAAGAACTCACAACAAATCTGCCGGTAGAACTTGTTTTCCGTTCTATCACATTCTTCGCAGGAGGTGGTTCACTTCCACTTTTCTGTTTTCTGGGAATCTCGGCTTCCGTGTCATCAGGAGGCTCGGTTTTACAGACCTGAAAACAAATAACTTTCACAGTAATTCTTTCAGCAGTCCCATTCAGTTTTGAAATCTTAGTGGCGCTTCGAACTTACAGACAGACCCCCCCCCCCAATTAATAAATCGTTTCAATTTTGTAGATTTTTTTATCCGTCCTCAATAGAATTTGGAAAAATGGGCGAACAATTTCTGACAGGCTCCGATAAAATTATCACAAATAAGTTCCGAATATCTTGATATTTCTGCATATACAGAACTCGAGTACTAAGTTGAAATAAACAAAGAGATTATAAACATTCAAGCAATGTGGTACTATTGCACTAAGCAACGCTAAAAAAGAACTCCGTCAGATAGAATCTATAGCAAACTTCACCTACTGGCCGATGTCAGACTTTGCGATTGGAGCGATTGTGCACCAAATTGCAGGAGCGACGGATCGCTTGAGCGATGCGAGCGACGGGAGATTTACGAACTGGGGCCGTATGCTGAATGTTGGGTGGGGGACGGCGGTGTG